AGCCACAGCTTCTCTGGGCACCCTGTGCCAGCGCCTCAGCACCCTCCCAGGGAAGAGCTTCTGCCTCAGAGCTCATGTCAGTCTCCCCTCTGGCAGGTTCAAGCCATTCCCCTTGGCCTGTCCCTCCATCCCTTGTCCAAAGCACCTCTCCAGGTTTCCTGCAGCCCCTTTAGGCACTGGAGCTGCTCTAAGGTGTCCCCTTGAGGAGCCTTCTCTTCTCCAGCTGCCCCAGCCCAGCTCTCTCAGCCTGGCTCCAGAGCAGAGCTGCTCCAGCCCTCGCAGCAGCACTGTGGCCTTCTCTGAACCCACTCCAGCAGCTCCACATCCTTCTCATGTTCTTATTCTTATAAGTCTCCAGTTGTGAACTGAGTATCTGTGCCTCACCTCTGAGTCTGTAAACTGGGAAGCCAGAGAGGGGTGTGGGATGGAGACCTCCTTCTGTCTGCTGGCAGCTAGGCACGAGGGGTTTGTGTGGGGACAGGAAGGGTCTGGGCAGCTGCTCCCCAAGCTGGTAGCACAGCTTGGGGGTTCAGGTGCAGAGGGAGGCCTGGTCCCCAAACCTGCAGCACCCAGCTGAGCCCAGGCACCGGTATCCTTCCAGGAGCAACGCACCCTTCAAGGAATAGCGTCTGCAGAGACCTCTGTGTGGAGCAACGCAGCCCAGATCTGCCCTCAGCTTGCCAAGGGCTTCGAACCCACCGGGTGGGCTTGGGGTGAAGGGGGTGGCTCTCATGGGGCCTGGAGACCTGCCTTACAGGAGGCCTCTGCAGGCTGCCTGGTGGGGTCTCTTGTTGTCCTGTCTCCACCTTCCTGCTGGGGCATCCAGGCTGGGACATGGACCTCTCTGACCAGCTGCGGGGGTTCGGCAGGTCCCTGAAGACCTGCAGAAGAGAGCCAAGCTTCCATCAATACACTATTAGTTGTAATTTTTAGGATTAACATTGTTTTTCCTCTTATGGTGGATATTTCTTGTGCCTTGTCACTCCCACAATTCACTTCTCTCCCAGCGCTGGTGTCTTGCCAGGCTCAGGAGAGGAAAAAAAAATCACTGTCAGAATTCTTACTGAAATCCCCATTGGGCAAACGGCCCCAAATCCTGAGCTTTTTACCAAAAATAGACTCCAAATCTTGAACAGAATCATCCTGCCTTCAGGCTGCCTGTTCCTGCTGGGCCCCGGGTGGTGAGGAGGGCGGGGGTATCAGTAGTTGGATTGGGGGGGGTATCAATAGTTGGATTAGGGGTGTTGTGAGAACCTTCTGTGGTGGCCAGAGAGGTGTCCTGGGTGTCCTGGGGCTTGGGTTTCAGTCTCTGAAGCAGATGTCCTGGCACATCTGTCCCTGAGCTGCTGGTGGGACCAGGCAGAGTCCATCACTAACCCTCCCTGCCCGTCTCTCCCTGCGCTGCAGGTACACGGTGCTCTTCTCTCACGGCAACGCTGTGGACCTGGGGCAGATGAGCAGCTTCTACATCGGGCTGGGCACCCGCATCAACTGCAACATCTTCTCCTATGACTACTCGGGCTACGGTGTGAGCACGGGCAAGCCCTCGGAGAGGAACCTCTACTCCGACATCGATGCCGCGTGGCAGG